AGTCCCCTTAGAGGGGGCAGCTGTGAGGATAACTGGGAGTGAAGCCACATAGGAGGTTTTGTTTTTGTTTTTGTTTTTGTTTTTGTTTTTGTTTTTTTAAAACCAGCACTTTGAATAACATCTTAAAACCAATGCAGGTTGTTTGAGGGTATATAAGAATAGTAACAGCTAGACACACATGTGGGATACTAATTAAAGTAAAGCTTTTTATTATATACAAACTGTAAATAATTTGGTGCTGTTTGTGTCAAAAATAACTTCATATATAAAATATGAGTCTGATACTAGCTTTAATTTAACTTGGAAACCCTTGATAGACTAAAATTCTGCACACAGTCTTCTGCCTATCTGAAATTCAAATTTCTTTCAACAGAGGTGTTCTTATACTCTGCCTGATTGGCCACAAAATCAATACAGTAAATTAAAAAGGAAAACATTCCAATATAATTCTTACAAGTCATGGTACAGATATAAAGATTCTGTTGTGATAGCCTATATCAGTAGAGTTCTAGTATTTCTTAGAGTCTACTTCAAAGAGTTGACATCAATCTGAAAGCCTGAGAGTGTTTCTCTTTCCCTTTCTCTGATACTAAAGAGAATCAGGGAGAGGCTTTCTTGGGTTCTCAAGAAGTTCCTACATTCATGTTTTCCTAACAGCTGCCACATATCTTCTTCAAGGCTATCTCTGAATTCCTCTACATATATTCAATTTAAAGTGTATGCCTGCACATGTCAATAACAGTGAAATTTGCCTTCCTTCAGAACTGTAAAATATTTAGGGATATCAGTATCAAATTCAAGATATATCAAGATAGTTCAGAATCCTCTGGGAAGAAACAATGTGGACAATTGCCCCAGGACTACAGGTAGTCCTCGCTTAACAACCACAGTAGGGACCATATAATTGATCATTAAGCAGGGTGGTCATTAAGCAAGTCACCACATGACAGGACCCGATTTTACAACCATTTTTATGATGGTCGTACAGTGAATCACCACAGTCATTAAGCAAGTCACTGTGGTCATTAAGCGAATCATGTGTTCATTAAGTGAATCCAGCTTCCGCAATGGACATTTTTTGCTGGAATTCACTTAACGACCACATGATTTGCTAAATAACCACAATGATTTGCTTAAGGACCATTGCAACAAAGGTCGCAAATCATGATTACGGGATCACGGGGTGTGATACAACAGTTTGCAATGGTCTTAAGTACAAGAACATGTTGTAAAGCGCTTTTTCTGAGGCCATCGTAACTTAGAACCATAATTAAATGAACTGTTATTAAGTGAAGACTACCCGTATATTAAAGTATAGTTCAGTGTTTGAAAAAAATCAGACAAGTCAATGCTTTTATCCAGGATTATAAAGCAAATCAATTAAAATCAAATCCCCAAAGTTATTTCAGTAGTTTGGCCTTTCACACACCCATTTACTGAACCACTGATTTTAATGGAAAGGAAGGAAGGAAGGAAGGAAGGAAGGAAGGAAGGAAGGAAGGAAGGAAGGAAG